AATCTGAAGACACTGACAAGACCTGCCTTCGAGCCTGTGCTCCCGGGGTCACCCCGGCCGCACCCCCACAGACTTCTGGTCGGAGATTTGCACCGCCGCGAGACCTCCCCGCTGGTGAGGGGCTCCTGGGGGCCAGGGAAGGGGAGGGGTGGGAAAGGGGGGGCGGCCAGGGACTGGTGTTCCTTCGACAGGTGGGGAGGATTCCAGGGTCCTTAAGTTTCCCCCTTCTATTCCATCTCTTCGTTCTCCTTTCTGTGCGCTTTCGGGTTTTTGCGTGTGTCGCTGACTGATAATTGTTTTACTGAGATCTTTTCTTTGGGTGGCAGCTGGGAATTATTCCACCTTTCTTCCCCAGGCTGAGTAAATCATTTCCTCTTCTTTTCCCCTCCAGCACTTTGCTTATTCATTAACTGTTTCTGGGACTTCACCATTGCCGGTCACACACCCATCTCTCGGGGCAGCCCGCATTTTACCCCACCCCCGGCCCTCCGAAACCAAGTCCATAGGCCGTTCAGAAGTTGGTTGACAAATAAGTGTGTCCACCTCCTTTCCTCCTCTTTCCTCTTCTCTTCTTGGCCCCCAGCTCTGTGTCCCTGTCCCCAGAGATTTTGTTGAGGGAGGGGGCCTCGAAGGCACGGGGTCTGGACAGCCTTTTCCTCTTCACCTCCTTCCCTTCCAGACCCCATGCTGGACTCTCCCTGCCTTCTGTGGCTCCTGGCTGTCACCTTCTCCTTAGTGCCCAGAACGCGGCCCTTGGCCCCTCAAGACCTTACGGAAGAGGAGGAAGATGAGACATCACGGCCACCTCTGCCGGCTGTCCTCTGTGACTACGACAGTTGCCGCCACCTGCAGGTGCCATGCAAGGAGCTGCAGAGGGCTGGGCCCGGGGCCTGCCTGTGCCCCGGGCTCTCCAGCCCTGCCCAGCCTCCTGCCCCGCCGCGCCTGGGAGAGGTGCACGTGGTGGCCGAGGCCGGCAGCGCGCTGGTGCACTGGTGTGCACCCCCCTCCCCGGTCCACCAGTACTGGCTGCTGCTTTGGGAAGGCGGTGGGGCTACCCAGAAGGGCCCCCCGCTCAACGCCACGGTCCGCAGAGCAGAACTGAAGGGACTAAAGCCTGGGGGCATTTATGTCGTTTGCGTGGTGGCTGCCAACGGGGCTGGAGAAAGCGGCGTGCCGGGGGCAGGTGGGGAGGGCCTTGAGGGGGTGGGTGGCCCTCCTTTCGGGCCCTGCGGCAGGCTGGCCATGCCCCCCAGGCCCGTTACCCTGGTCCACACGGCCGTAGGGGTGGGCACGGTCCTGGCCCTGCTGACCTGCTCTGCTCTGGTCTGGCACTTCTGCCTGCGCGAGCGTTGGGGCTGCCCCCACCGGCCAGCCTCCCCACCAACAGCAGGGCTCTGAAGCAGCCCGGGTGCCTCTCGGGCCCAGCTGAGCCCAGGCTTGCAGAGGAGAGCTCTGCCCAGACTCCCCTGGGCAGCCCGGGCGCCAAAGTAGAAGGCCAGGCGCCTGGGGCCCCAGCTGAGTCTCGGTGCTCAGCCTGAGAGCTTGTTCAGGTCCCAAACTTTCCGTCCTGCTCCAGGCTGAAAGGAACAGAGGGGGATTGGCAACTTTTTCCTTAAAGGACCGGAGAGTAAATAACGTAGGCTTTGCAGTTCCAGAGGATAAAATCAAAGATAATATGTAGGTGCTTCTATGGCCATGTAACCACGTAAAAACGTAGAAACCATTCTTAGCTCATGGGCCTTTTCTTTTCAAATCAGGCTCTGGCCATATTAGGCCTATTGGCTGTAGTTAGCTGATCCCAATCCCGGTCATAGACCCTCAAAAGGGCGCTGTCACATTGGTGGCTTCGGTGGGATTTCGAGAACAAATTGCTTCAGGCAATTTGGAGTTTGGGGCAACACCACTCCCTCTTTTACCTTTCATTTCGATATTGAAGATGGGCACACCTGAGTCGGAAGCCACCTGTGTCTGACGTGGGTGAAGATAAATGACTGACATGGGGTGGAGAACCAAGGACTGCCTAAAACTGCTGTCCGGGGCATTTCCCAAGTCCAAGGATTTCCCCCACTTTCCCTCAATCTGTGTCTTTTGTATATTCACTGTACCAACATTAAAGGAAATATAAAACGAAGATATTTTCATTTTTCCTGACCCTTTTCATTTCCCTGTCCACACACCTATTTCTCAGAGTACTGTATACTTTTAAACTTATCTTTAACTGCATCCGGGCCACCTGGGTGGCTCAGTCAGTTGTGTCTGACTCTTGGTTTTGGTTCAGGTCATGATCTCAGGGTCGTGAAATCGAGCCCTGCGTCAGGCTCCGAGCTGGGTGTGGAGCCTGCTTGAGATTCTTTCTCCCTCTGTCCGCCCCCACCCCACCCCTGGCCAAGTAAATAAATAAAACCTTTAAAAAATAAGAAATCAACTGGATGTAGAGAAGTCTGAGTTGCAGGCACCTGGGTGGCTCAGTTGGTTAAGCGACTGCCTTCGGCTCAGGTCATGATCCTGGAGTCCCGGGATCGAGTCCCACATGGGGCTCCAGTCCCACATCGGGCTCCCTGCTCAGCAAGGAGTCTGCTTCTCCCTCTGACCCTCTTCCCTCTCGTGCTCTCTATCTCTCATTCTCTCTCTCTCAAATAAATAAATAAAATCTGAAAAAAAAAGAAAGAAAAATCTGAGTTGCTACAGAGTATAATCCTCATTTTTGCTGGTTCTACAACTTTTTTTTTTAAGATTTTATTTATTTATTTGACAGAGATAGACACAGCGAGAGAAGGAACACAAGCAGGGGGAGTGGGAGAGGGAGAAGCAGGCCTCCAGCTGAGCAGGGAGCCCGATGCGGGGCTCAATCCCAGGACCCTGGGATCATGACCTGAGCCAAAGGCAGACGCTTAACGACTGAGCCACCCAGGCGCCCCTGGTCCTACAACTTTAAATTATAGAACTAACATTTATATGAATTTCAAATACTGCTGAAGAATACAAAAGAAAGTTCCTCTTTTCCTCAAGACGTAATTACCCCTTGCAGAGCAGATTTTTATTCAATGTCGATATTCTCTTTGTTCACTCAATAGATGATGGACAGCATTCCATGTTGGTAAATCATAGCCTCCTTGGTGATGTTAAAGGCGGTGTAACTTTCCATAGAAGGATGCTCCTTGACTGATAGAAGCCATCGCTCTTTAGTGGCACATTTGTCTTCAGTGTTTGCTATGGGCATCTTTATGTATCCTCACATTTGTGTATTTCTATAGGGTGCTTACCTGGAAGTAGATGAAAAATGCAGTATGGGGCGCCTGGGTGGCTCAGTCGTTAAGCATCAGCCTTCGGCTCAGGTCATGATCTCAGGGTCCTGGGATCGAGCCCCACCTTGGGTTTCCTGCTCAGCGGGGAAACTGCCTCTCCCTCTGCTCCTCTCCCCTGTTGTGCTCTCACTGTCTCTCTCAAAATGAATACATAAAAAGTCTTAAAAAAAAAAAAAAGACAGTACCATACAATTAATGATTTTTTTTTAAAGATTTTATTTATTTATTTGAGAGAGAGAGAGCCCAAGAGGGGGTAGGGTCAGAGGGAGAAGCAGACTCCCCGCCGAGCAGGGAGCCCGATGTGGGACTCGATCCCGGGACTCCGGGATCATGACCTGAGCCGAAGGCAGTCGCCCAACCAACTGAGCCACCCAGGCGCCTCCTGATTTTTTTTTTTTTTATCATTGGACCTCAGGATAAATGAGGTGTGTTAGAACTAACATACTAAGAACTTAGTGTGTTATAACACTTAACCTCTCTAACACACCACACTGTAGTGAATGCTGTGTCCCTGTTTTATTTGCTTCCCGTATTTCCTCAACATTTATTCATTTACAAATGAGGGCCCAATCTCATTATTCAAGACATGCTCTGCATGCATTCTCATTTACTCTTCACAGTCTTTCCAAGAGATAGAATCACCTGGGAGGAGATGAGAAATTTGAAGTTCTAAATGGTTTGGAGCTACAAGTAAGGAGTTGAGTTAGGATGCCCAACTCCAAAGTAGATGTTCTTCACTCCGCTATGGAGAGGCAAATTAACATAGTGGTTTGGTGAATGCATACCGCATGGGTGTGGATCCTAGCTTGGCTACTTACCAGCTTTGTGACCTTAGGTAAATTATCTCCTTTTTCTGAGTTTCCTATGACTAATAATAGTATAATCATATAGATTGTTGTGATGATTGAACAGGCATTAATCACCTAAGTCTCCAGTGGAGCGGGGAGGTGGAAGGGGGTGGTCAAAGCAGGATTCCCTTAGAAAGGAAACCTGGGGTCCAGTCTCAAAAATGACTGGGAGTTAACCAATCCCACAGAAGAGGCGGGACATCCCAGGCAGAGGGACTGGTAGGTGCAAAGGCCTGGAAGAGCAAATGGGCCTGTTTTGCAATATGCACAAGTTAGCAGCAAGTGGTGGGAGACGACACTGTGCACTACTAACATTTACACGGTACAGTCTTGCCAGGCACCGAAGGCAAGTGCTTACTGTTACTCTCAGTTTTACAGAGAGGGCTCTAAACAAACAACAACAACAACAACAAATAAAACGGAGGAAGCCACACTACCAGCACTTAAATTTCATCCTAAGTGACTGGGGCCTTATGGAGAATTTTTAAGCAGGGAGGTGATGACAGGATCAGATAACTGTGTTCTGCAAAAATCCCTTTGGCAGTGGGGCGGAGGATGGCTCAATTCCCCGGAGAGGATGAGCAGGTCAAAGACCAAGCACATTTCTATGGCTCCTGATCAACATTGCCAAATAACATTCCAACTGGTTGCGCTCAGGGACCCCATCGAGGGCTTGCTACATTCCGCCCACGGGTTTCAGGGCCGCACCACCCTTCTTCCCCACCGCCGCCGGGCGGCCCAGCTTCGGGGGCGCCTCCCGGTCGGCGACTCCGACGCGCCACCACCCATCCCCGCCCGCGCCGGGCCCAGGCGGCGGGGCCAGGCCTGTGCTTTCTGGCTCTCGGCGGCACCCGTCCACGCCCGCCGCCACGTGACCCAAACAGATCCGGGCACTTCCGCTTCCCCTCGGCTTTCTTCTCGTCAGTGTCGGCTGAGGGTCCAGAGCCGGGTAAGTGAGAGAGCGGCCGGCTGGGGCGTCGGGGGCGGGACCGCGCGCGGCCCGGGGGCACCCCGCGCTGACCCCCGCCCCTGCGCCCTCCTTCTCGCCCTCCCCCAGGTCCCCGCGGAAGCGGCGGTGGCGGCGCCATGGCGGAGCTGACGGCTCTGGAGAGTCTCATCGAGATGGGCTTCCCCAGGGGACGCGCGTAAGGCAGCCCCCCAGACCCTGGCCCGCGGGGATCGCGGACCTGTCTGGCCCTTCCCCCAGCCTGGCCTCAGGCTCCACGCCCCAGCCTGACCGGCACCATGGCTCGCGGGCGCTATTCACGGTGTTTCTGCCCCCAGGGAGAAGGCTCTGGCCCTCACAGGGAACCAGGGCATCGAGGCTGCAATGGACTGGTGAGCGCTCAGACCGGGTGGCACGGGCCTGGGGGGCTGCTGGGAGGGCCAGCGTCAGGGTTAACCTCCCTCCCGACTTTCCCTGCCAGGTTGATGGAGCACGAAGACGACCCCGATGTAGACGAGCCGCTCGCGACCCCCCTCGGACATGTCCTGGGAAGGGAACCCACCGCCTCGGAGCAAGGTGGCCCCGAAGGTCCTGACTGAGGGGCACTGTGGTTATTCACGTGCGCTCGAGGAGGATGAACGGGCAATAATACTGATTGCTTGTTTGTAGGACCCGGCTCTGCAGCCGGAGAAGGCAAACCCACTTTGAGTGAAGAGGAGAGACAGGAACAGACTAAGAGGTATAGTAAGGAACAGTGGCACGTTTCTGAGGGTCACCTTCCACCTGTCCACAGTTCACAAGTCTGGTTAAAGAACCTGGAAGTTAACACCTTCCCTCTGTCCTGCCTTGGCGGTTTCCTTTCTGTTTCTTTCATCTCTCTTTGGACACGTGTTCCCGCGTTTCATTTTGAATCCCGGTTATAAACTCACCTTCTTGATCTGTGTTCATTTCTTTTGAGCTCCTTCTTTTCTGCAACACAGGATGTTGGAGCTGATGGCCCAGAAGCAGCGGGAGCGGGAAGAAAGAGAGGAGCGAGAGGCTTTGGAACGGGAACGGCAGCGCAGGAAACAAGGGCAGGAGTTGTCAGCTGCTCGACAGCGGCTTCAGGAAGATGAGATGCGCCGGGCTGCTGAGGAGCGGAGGAGGGAAAAGGCTGAAGAGTTAGCAGCCAGGTCTGGGTGATGGGGATGTTGGCTAATAGAGGAGACGGGAAGCTAGGTTTGCTTTGTCAATGTCTGACCTACTTTCTTCCTGTCTACATTCCAGACAGAGAGTCCGAGAAAAGATTGAAAGAGACAAAGCAGAGAGAGCCAAGAAGGTAGGTGATTGGGAAGACGCTGGAGTAAGGAAGTAGGTGGGCTAGTAAAAAAAAAAAAAAAAAAAAAATTCCCTTTTCTAGCTTCAGAGGGAAAGGATTGGCATACGATGTTCCTCTCAAGAGTGGGTGAGGGCCTGATCGGTTTTCCCTTTGTCTTCCAGTATGGTGGGAGTGTGGGTTCTCGGCCTTCTCCACCAACAGAGCCGGGTGCTGTTCCCTCCTCTCCCAGCCAGGAGCCTCCCACCAAGCGGGAGTATGACCAGTGTCGCATACAGGTACTGATTCTAATTCCTGTCTTGCTTCTGGGACCCCTTCGTTGGCCTGTAAGATACCTGGCTCAGAGCTTTATTCAGTCAGGTTCTCTTTGCCAAACCTCTTCCTTCTTTGTAAGTGACTTTTGAAATCCCATCTCCTCTACTCTTGGAAAGATATCAAATTTCTCTTGCCCTGCTCTTAATTTAAATCCATTCCTCCCTTTTACCTCGGCAGTTACCTTTTTAGTTGTTCATGTTTTCATTTAGTTTATTACGCAGCTATTTGCACAATAGGGTATTTAGGTATTTTTGTTACGATCTTATCCTTGTGTTTGTTAAAATGTGAGGAAGCTGGAGTCTCTCTTCACTGCTTAGTAAAGCAGAGAAGTGGTTGTTCATCAGGGTGCTTCAAATAGTAATTATGCTGGTTCAGTCTCTCGAACAGGAAACAGAAGCCAACTTTGCAGCTCTTGTTTTCCTTACTTGGGCACCTCCTCAGGTTTGATGCTCCCAACACCGTATTACTCGCTTGCCCTCCAGGTCAGGCTGCCAGATGGGACCTCACTGACGCAGACATTCCGGGCTCGGGAACAGTTAGCAGCTGTGAGGCTCTATGTGGAGCTCCACCGCGGGGAAGAGCCTGGGGGAGACCAGGACCCTGTGCAGTTGCTCAGTGGCTTCCCCCGGCGGGCCTTCTCAGAGGCTGACATGGAACGGCCTCTGCAGGAGCTGGGTATGACACCTGGGACCAGAAAGAGGACTTGGCGGGGGGGGGGTGGTGAGGGGGATGCCTGAGAAAGGAAGGAATGCCAGGAGAAGAGACTTTGTGGGGATGGAATGCGGCCAGAAACTTTGGGGGGCAGAAGGCAAGGATCTTTGTGGTCAAAGCTGTTTTCTTCCATCTTAGGACTTGTGCCTTCTGCTGTCCTCATTGTGGCCAAGAAATGTCCCAGCTGAGAGGCCTTTATCCCGCCATCCCTCTCTGACCTCTTCATCTTTGATAAAGCACTGACATCTCCTTCCTAATAAATAGACCCTCTGAGTTCTGTATGTGCCTGACTCCTTCCTGAATGGCTGGTAGGGACAAAACTGAGGCAGGGGAAGAAGCCAAAGGGAAGGCATTTAGGATAGGCCCTATTTTTCATCTTAAGTTTTTTTTTTTTTTTTAAGATTTTTTTTTTAGATGTTTTTCTCTCTTTTTTTTTAAAGACTTTATTTATTTTTGCGAGAGAGAGAGAATGAGCAGGCGGGGTGGGGGGGAGGCAGAGAGAGAAGCAGACTGCCCGCTGAGCAGGGAGTCCGATGCGGGACTCGATCCCAGGACCCTGGGATCACGACCTGAGCCGAAGGCAGACGCTTAACCGACTGAGCCACCCAGGCGCCCTAAAAGGGTAATTTTTTAAATGTAGCCATTCACAAGTGGCCAGGGGAGCATTGCAGTGACCTTTACAACTGCATTTCTTCTTCACTAAAAAGTATTGAGTACTTAATATGCACCGCACAGGTTTAACTGCTGTATACGTATTAACGGAGATAAGAAGGCAGTTATCTGGGAATAAGTACAAGTATCCCATTTTAGAGATTGGGACACCAAAGCACATGGCTTCCTGAAACCAACACAGGTAACCAACAGTAGAACCTGGACACACCTGGGGAAGTCCAACTCTAGGGCTCAGGCTCTCAACCTCCAAGCTCCTGCAATCATAGCCCCTCACTGTTGCTGATCACCTCACCCTCATGTTCCCTCAAAGAGCTGCTAACCTTTTCCCCGTCATTCCCGGGCTAGGAAAAAGGCCACAATTAAACCAAAGATCACACATAACAAATGTGTTTGGCTTAGGGCTTCACCATCCAGCAGCTGAAAACAGCACCAGTGCTCCCATCTGGGTTTACACCTGTGTTACCAAGCTGTATTTACTGTTCTGGCTTTATTTAAATAAAAGCAGGCGCTTTTTTTCCCCCTTCAATTGAAATCTTGCTTGGAACCACAGGATGTAAAATAGACCACAAGGGGGCACCTGGGTGGCTCAGTTGGTTAAGGGCCCCACTCTTTGGTTTCTGCTCAGGTAATCTCGGCCTTATGAGACTGAGCCCCACTCCTCCCACCATCTGCACTAAGCAGAGAGTCCGCTTATGACTCCCTCTCTTCCTCCCCACCAGGGTCTCTCAAATGTTTTTTTTAATTAAAGGTTTTATTTATTTATCAGAGAGAGCACAAGCAGGGAGAGTGGCAGGCAGAGGGAGAAGCCGGCTCCTTGCTGAGCAAGGAGCCCAATGCGGGGCTCCATGCCAGGACCACAGGATCATGACCTGAGCCGAAGGCAGACACTTAACCGAGCCACCCAGGCTTCCCTCAAATAAATTAAAAAAAAAAAAAACAGGGAGTGAATTGGTTGACTTGGATGTAGGGTGTGACTCAAATGCCAGCTTTACTTCATTACTTCGGTGGCATCTGCAAGAGATCCCATGACTGGATTCAGAGATTGTGAACTACCTTGAAGTCCCTTGGAAGGGGAAACCATCCCCTACATTTATTGAAAGGCTGGTCTGTGCCAAGCAATGCACTTTACATTTCCAAGTTAGTCTTTTTACAACAACCTTCAAGATATTGACACCCTTTATGGAACAGGACTGAGGCTCGGAGAGGTTTTGTAATCTGCAGGACTTTAATCAAGATCTGTCTGACTCAAAGCACGCTTCTTTCACTCCTAGCAAATTGGCCTCCAACAGTCTAGTATCCCCAGAAAGCATCATGGCACATGCTAAATGCTAGCGGCCCCTCTCCAACCCCACTCAAAGAACAGGAAACCCAAAGCGTCCTCCATGGGCATCTATTGCTACAAGATTTTCCAGGATAGTTTTGATTTCGAGAATGTCGCCTGGTTATCACCAAAAGTACACTCAAACAGACCACATGCCCTGATTTGTGTTTTGAAAATGTGGTCCCTCCTGGGCAGTGGGAGCCACAGTCTTCCACGTCCCCTGCACGGACCCCCAGAACACTCTAGACATAGGCGTCAGACCGCAGGGCTCACTGACTGGACGGAGGAACGTGACTTATTGGCTCCTTCAGTTCTCACATCCGACGCCCCCGCCGCGACGCAGGACGTGAAAGCGCAGTCAGGGCAGCGTCTGCGGGTGGAGGGGGCACGTGCTCACCCCGCAGCGGCTCCCAGGGCCTCAGGGCGGCCTGGGCGCGGTATCCCGGGTCCGGACTCCCTACCCGGCCTACGGCGGAGAAGCCAGGTCGGACTCCTGAGCGGGAGCAAGGTCCCAGCGCCCACGAGGGAGGTCCGGGCTCACGCTGATCTCCCGCCGCCGCCGACCGTCCAGTTCTTCCTCCAGGCCACGTTGTCCTGCGTGGCCGCTGCCTCCTGCAGAGTGGCCAGCACTAACTCTTTGGTCCTGGCTGCCTCGTCCCTGCGCCGCGGGTCCTGCTCGGGCATCTCCTGCGAGCAGGAAGGGAGGTTCGCAGTTCTGACCGCCCCCCCCCAAGCCGGGGGCTCTCCGCCCGCTCGTCCCACCTCGCACCCCCAGTAACTCCCACCTTCAGCATCTCCTGCTTCCGCTGCTCTCCCGGGGTCACGAGGACAAAGAGCGCGGAGCCCACGCCAGCCCCCGCGCCCAGGAGGGCACCCACGATCAGCGCTTTGCGCAAGGTGTCCATGGCCGACCGCGCGCCCGGCGAGGCGCCCTCTGAAGCCTCCCGCAGCTTGGGAAGCCGGCCACGACGTCTCACCGCCCCCCGCGCGGGCTAGAGCGGCGCGTAGAGGAAACCATAGAGAAGGGGCCGGGCTAGAGAGGGCCTGATCGGCCAAGCGCTCCGAATCTAGAGCGCCTGCGTCTTAAAAGACTGGGTTTGGCAGGGAAGGTTGAGCGCGTCCCGAAGTGTTGGCGGCGAGGGCCGAGCCCCGGACCCACTGTCAGGAAATTCCAAGTGGGATTGCTAAAGGGAGCGTGCGTGTCAGAGTGCGTGTCAGCCTGGTTGCTGTGGGTTTTGCAGTTGCCCAGTTCCGAAATCTCGTGCGAGGACTGTGCTCTGTAGTTTCCTACAATGATTTGTGCTTTTTCAGTACAGCACATACTGGACATCCAGATGCTTACACACCTCAATCTACTGACCCTCTCCAGATTCCCTCAATTTATGAACAAAAACTCAAAGCCAGGTGTACTGGGTGAGGACAAAGGTATATATATATTTATTTATTTTTCTTTATTTTACTTTTTAAAAGATTTTAAGTAATGTCCACACCCAATGTGGGACTCGAACTCAGGACCCCGAGATCATGAGTCGCAGACTCCACCGACGGAGCCAGCCAGACACCCTATTTTACTTGTTAAATAAACGCGTTGAAAGTAAATTTGTTGCGGACGCCTGGGTGGTTCAGTTGGTTAAGCGTCTGCCTTTGGCTGAGGTCATGATCTCAGGCTTCAGGGATGGAGCCCCAACTTGGGTCTCCCTGCTCAACTGGGGTCGGCTTCTCCCTCTCCCTCTGCTCCTCCCCACTGCGCGTGCTCTCTCAAGTAAATAAAAAACCATTTTTTTCCTAAAGATTTTATTTATTCACTTGACAGAGAGAGAGAGAGAGAACGAGAGCAGGAACACAAGCAGGGGGAGTGGGAGAGGGAGAAGCAGGTTTCCCGATGAGCCGGGAGCCTGACGTGGAACCCGATCCCAGGACCCTGGGACCATGACCTGGGCCGAAGGCAGACGCCCAACAACTGAGCCACCCAGGCGCCAGTAAATAAAATCTTTTAAAAAAAGAAAGTAAATTTGTTGTTTTTCTCATCATGGTATACCCAGGCACCCCCCACCCCCTGCCAATGAAAACTCTGAATTTGGAGTAACATACTGAATTCTAGTTTGGAGAACAAAGCACCTTTTAGTTGGGTAACTCTGGGCAAGTCATTTAAGTTCTTTGTGCCCACCCAGGGCATCTGGATCAGGAAATAGGGCTAATGACAGTATCTATCTCATAGTTACAGGATTATTAAATGAGTTTATATATAAAGCATTTAAAACAGTTCCCGGCAAATAGTTAACACCATATGAATATTCGTGAAATAAGACACAAACATGTCAAATCAGGAGACCCAGTAAGCAAAGAAATCAGGAAATTCTAAGTTTGTTAGCAAAGCTCTTCACTCACAGGGCTTTCATCCAGATGCCCTTGTTGATTCCTATCCCTCCTGCCTTTCTCAGTGTCACCCAGGGAGTGAGGAGACATAAAGCTCCTATTCCACCTCTTGGGATTTTCCCCTCCCCTGGAAGGCCCATAATCTCCTAGCTTGTCATTCTCTTCTCAGAAGTGATTAAGGGGCCAGGCTCCAAAGATTAAAGGAGCAGTCTGTGGAGGGTACTGAGCAGGGGTACTCCACTTGGAGTTCAACCACTCTGTACTCTAAGAATTAGCACCCATGGCCCTTGTGCCAGGGAGCAGTGAGGATGGGCCTTGGCCTAGAGATAGCCCAGGCTCCTCCCAGCACCCAGAAAGTCCTCAGCTGACCAGCCCTCTGTGGATGGACGGAGGAGAAATTGTCAGGGTTGAAGGCCACCAGGATGTTCAGGTTAGTACTTCTCCACCCTGTGTCTGGCTGCTGGCTCATCCTCCAACTTGGTCCAAGCACCCTGCTATCCCGATTCAGGTTGTCTCTCAAAAGACCCACCTGCCCTCCATTGTGGTGGAAGCCTCTGAGGTGAGTGAAGACAGCGGGGAGCTTGGTTGGCCACATGAGGAGCTGCTGCTGCTCACCGATGAGGAAGAGGAGGCCGAGGTCTTCTTCCAGGACCAAAGTGAAGAGCCAGGTGAGGGAGGCAGCTGCTTCAGCGGGGTCGTTGTGACCTGGATGTTCTGGGCAGGACTGAGATAGGGACCTCAGCTGTGTCCCCCACGCCAAGCAGTACAAGCATACAGTAGGTTCTTAGTAAATGTAGTGGGGAAAAAGTAGAGGTGGAGAGAAAAGTCAAGGTGTCTGGCAACGTTGAACTTCAGAGGGAAGTTCTGAGCTCAGATGGGTCTGAGGGTGATGCCTTTTAATTATTTTTAATGTTTTAAAATATTCACATTGTTTGGGGCGCCTGGGTGGCTCAGTCGGTCAAGCGTCTGCCTTCAGCTCATGATCCCAGGATTCTGGGATCAAGTTCCGCATCGGGCTCCTTGCTCAGTGGGGAGCCTGCTTCTCCCCTGCCTGCCGCTCCCCAAGCTTGTGCTTGCTCTCTCCCTGTGTGTGTGTCAAATAAATAAATAAAATATTTTAAAAAAAAATTCACATTGTTGTGGGGGAAAAAGTAATAAAACTATCCCAAATCAACTACCCCGAGATAAGTTACATTTTGGATGCCTTTCCTTCCAGACTTTCCCCCATGTCTGATACTGTTCTAGAAGCTTATTTATTAGCATTTACAGTGTGCTAAATGCTTTTATCTCATGATTTTCAGAACCCAGTGAGGGAGATCCTTTCATCCTCATGAGGAAACAGGCTGTGAAATTAGCCTTTTTTTTTTTTAAGATTTTATTTTGTCAGAGAGTGAGAGAAAGAGCACAAGCAGGGGGAGAGGAAGGCAGAGGGAAAAGCAGGCTCTCCGCTGACCAAGGAGTCCAATGTGGGGGCTTGATCCCAGGACGTTGGGATCATGACCTGAGCCCAAGGCAGACGCTTAACCGAGCCACCCAGGCGTCTCAAATTAGCCTTTTTTTTAAAAAAAGATTTTTTATTTTATTTACTTGACAGAGAGAGAGAGAGAGAGAGCACAAGCGGGGGGGGGATGGCAGAGGGAGAGGGAGAAGCAGACTCCCTGCTGAGCATCAGGGAGCCAGATGTGGGGCTCGATCCCAGGATCCTGGGATCATGACCTGAGCCAGATGCTTAATGGACTGAGCCACCTAGGCGCCCCTGAAATTAGCCTCTTAATTATAATTGCTGTATTACTTTTTTCAATAGGAAAGAAATACACAAATTTGTTTCATCTTTTAAAAAGTCAGTAATAGATCAGGACTACTTTTCATTCTTTTTTTTTAAGATTTTTATTTATTTATTTGAGAGAGAGAGAATGAGAGAGAGAGAGCACGAGAGGGAAGAGGGTCAGAGGGAGAAGCCGACTCCCCGCCGAGCAGGGAGCCCGATGCGGGACTCGATCCCGGGGCTCCAGGATCATGACCTGAGCCGAAGGCAGTCGCTAATACTTTTCCATTCTTAATGGGCTCTTCAATTCCTCTCTCCCCCAGGCTGGACTTGGAGCCCACTGGACCCCAGATCTCCCTTAAGAACCTTTAACCCAGAACTCAGCTGGGGGCAGGAACAGGGAGAACAAGAGGTCTCCTGGATTCCTGAGGATACAGAGTATCAGGAAGCCTCCAACCCCTGTCCTCTCTGGAACCCAGCTGCCAGCTCCCGGGTTTGTAGAAGCTACTTTGTGGAATATTCACATCTCCTGCCTCCCAGGAGCTTGGAGGGTAAGTATTGTACTGCCTCCCTCCACGTTTCGTGGTTTGTTATGAGGCCCTTCTATGGGTTCTTTCAGTCTTCTTTTACAGGTGAGGACAAGAGGGTTAGAGGTGAGGCCACTGGCTCCCACAAGTCAGTCAATACTGGGATTTGGATTAAGGACCTCTCTATTAAAAAACTCCCCAAACAGGGGCGCCTGGGTGGCTCAGTCGGTTAAGCACCCCAACTCTTGGTTTTGGCTCAGGCCATGATCTCAGGGAGGAGCCCTGATTTGGGCTCCGTACTGGGCATGGAGACTGCTTGGGATTCTCCCTCTGCCTCTGCCCCTCCCCCTGCTCGCTCACTCTCTCTAAAAAAAGTAAATCTAAAAACAGACAAAACCCTAAACCCCTCAAACAAAAAAACCCCACAGAACTCCTGTGTTTTTAGGAGTTCCCGTTCGTTGGGGCTGGGGAATGAGCCACTGCACCTTCTCTGCTCAGCACTCCGTCTTGTGCCTGGCATTGCTAAATGCTCCATGTTTCACCCATCATCATATGTAATCCTCTGACTCCGGGTATTAATTCCTACCCTGCTGCTAGAGCGTGAACTGGGGCACAGAAACATTCAATACTCTGTGCACCCAGCTAATAAATGTGGAGGCCAGGCTTCAAATCCTTGCTTCCCAGCCATCTTACAAAGTTGAAAAGCTACCCAACGCTCTCCTCACCCAACAGAAAAATTCGGGTCAGGGCTGAAGTCTTTAATGAGAGCCTTGAACCAAGTAAGCAAAGTAGGTGATGCCCCCAAAAGGGCCTAGCTCCTGCACAGTCACAGTCCAGCCTGGGGACCCTTGCTCCAGGCAAGGCAGCCGCACATCAGGGTCCTCATCTGAGAACTGAACCAGGGTCCCCTGGGGGCTTAGGACCCTGAGGCACTCTGACAGAAGCTGGTAAGCCCCAGGCAGACCACCTCGGGAAATAGCATCCCAGGTGCCCTTATCCAGCACTAGCTGGAAGGAGCCTGAGGAAGCCACTGGCTCCAGATTCTGGGCATCAGCCTGCATGAAGTGGAGTTGGGAAGCAGGATGCCCAGGACAGAGGGGTGTTTGGCCTTGACCACCTTCCAGAAGACTCTTCATGTGGGCAACAGCCACAGGAGAGAAGTCCACCCCCAGCACATCCACGGGATGTGGGCACTTGGTGTAGAGGCCTGTACACAGGCTGGAGGTCCCACAGCCCACGTCCAACACCCTTGGTGGGCAGGCAGCTCCTGACTCCTGCAGCAGCGGAAGTAGCAACCCCTGGGCTTCCTCATACCCAAAGAACCAATCGAACGTGGGGACGCTGCCCCTACCGGCATCGGCATGGAGCTTATCCCAGAGGCGACGGTCGGCCAGGCAGCTACCAGCCAGGGAGCCTGTGGACGAGTGGAGTACGTGTGTCACCCAGCGCCCAAGTTCCATCCAAATCCTGCAGAAACGGTGCTATGTACCCTGGGGTTTGAAGAATCACAATTTCGGGGACTAGACTCCCAGGTCACTAAGAACCCTCCCTCCCACTCTGTCCACCTTCCCTACCCGCCAAAGCGCGGCGCGCCCCAGCCGCCAGGGTCGCCACGTGGAGGGTTCGGCGCAGCGCGGCCATCTGGAAATCCCGGCAAGGTCGGCCAGAGAACCTTCTGCGAAACGTCGCCCGCACTCCCGCAGGAGCCTGAAGTCCAACAGAAAAGCTGCAAATTCCGCTTTGTGGAATAACGCGTACAGCCTCCCTAACAACCACCTCGGAAAAAAGAACGCGGACACACACCTACTAGGGTAGGAACGGCCTTTATTGATTGCAACGGGCAGTGAAAAGAGGAGGGGACACGACAGCTCCGGCTCCAGGGACGGTTCCAAGGACCTGAAATCAAAGGAGAAGGCTAAATTAGCACACCAGAGAGGAGCCTGCAGAACCCTGGTTCCGTCACGCTTCTCGGAGCCCGTGTCCCGGCGTCTGAGGATAGAACCGGCGGACCAGAAGCCGCGGGCACCGAAGACATGACGCCGAGGGGGCCGGAGCCCTTTCCCTCTGCCTCCGTACATTACGGGGACCGGGACCGCACACCCGACCCCCGCCAAGAAAAGGAGGGTGCGTAGGCCTCGCCCAGAACCCCACCCTGGCACCCACCTCGAGCAACCCGCTAGCGTACCTCTCCTACCGCCGTCCCGCAAAAGACGCGTAAAGCTGCCGAGCGCCTTTATATAGCCTTCAGGACCCGCCCCCGGTCTGCGATTGGCTCGCGGAGGGCGAGGGGCGGGGCCGACGCTGACGCTGCGCAGAGCCAAGACGTGGTGGTGGAGCCAGCATGGGCGCTCCCGGCGGAAAGATCAACCGGCCACGAACGGTGACCGTGTGGGCGCCCCGACTTTGTTTCCCCAAGCGTCCTGGAGCCCTCTAATCTCGCCAGAGATGGGAATCTATGGGCTGGAGTCGCCGGGTGCGGGGTCCCGGGTCGCGGCTTCCGTCTGATTAGCATCTTCCTCCCCCTTAGGAGCTGAAGAAGAAGCTGTTCAAGCGACGGCGGGTGTTGAGCCGGGAGAGGCGACTGAAGCACCGGGTGATCGGGGCTGTGATAGACGAAGGGCTGATCACGCGGAACCACCTGAAGAAGCGGGCGTGAGTGCCAGACCCTCTTCGCTTTGCTCCTCCCCACCGAGTCCCCTTTCTCCTTCCTGCCGAGCTCCACCGCAAGTATCCCCTCTGCTTTCCGTGTGCACTGACTTTTATATAAACAGCGTTTGTCAGCTGTGTTTGTGCCTACACTTCGCTATCCTGTCACAGGACCGGTAGCTCACAACCTCTCTGGGTCTGGGACCCCCACTGAGAATGTAAGAACTGTCGACTCACCCACCTCCCCAAGTAACATTATACGTCCACATAGATGTTTATAAATAAATTTAAAGCACACCCAGGACGCCTGGGTGGCTCAGTCGGTTAAGGGTTTGCCTTCACCTCAGGTCATGATCCCAGGGTCCTGGGATCGAGTCCTGTATCCGGCTCCTGGGATCAAGTCCTGCTCCATGCGAGAGAGAGAGAGAGAGAGAGAGAGAGAGAGAGCGAGAGCGCGAGAGCGAGCGAGCATGGGGGGGGGGTCAGAGGGACTCCCCCAAAGACCTTTTTAATAGCCGGAATCAACCTACCTTGGTTCAGGTTAAACTGGATATCTTTGTTCCTACCGACCCTTCAGGTCCAGTGCACGTGCCAACATTACTCTCTCTGGGAAGAAGCGCAGAAAGCTCCTCCAGCAGATCCGGCTGGCCCAGAAGGAGAAAGCAGCCATGGAAGGTGAGGCCCAGGCACAGAGGAGGGGTAAGGGGGCAGCCCGGATTCGTTGGGGTTCTTTAATGCTTCCTCTTTCCTTTTGGTCAGTGGAAGCCCCCACAAGGCCAGTCAGGACTAGTGAACCACGGCCGAAGCGGCAAAAGAAGACAAAAGCCCCCCAGGATGTAGACATGGAGGACCTTGAAGATGATAACTGAGTCTCTCACCCCTTCCACCAGAAGATTCTCAGCTGGAGCCAGAAGGACTCTGGTTGTTTCAGAGGACTTTGGAGAAAGCATTGCCCCTTTTCATTCTCCTCACACTCCCCTTCCCTGATGGCCTAGTAACCTGCCCCAGAGGGATGTGTTGAGAGGAAGAGGGTGGAGAAGAAAGACTGGAGAATGGGGCTCCCTCGCAGTCAGCTGCACTTTTAATAAAGCCCTAGAGTTCTTACGGAGAGGCGTGTGATTTAATGTGGGACCGGGAATGGGCCACGGGAATTGGGCTATGGGTGTGGAAACAAGACAATTAAGACCCCGGAGCTCACTTGAGCTAAGGCAATGAGAAGCCAGGCTCTGTGATGATCCTATCTCCCTAGTGGGTGACACTCCCAACTCCATTTCTGACAAAAATACAGCTTATTGCAGAGATGGTAGAGGAGATAAGGGTCCTGATATCAGCTCTGCCATTGCCTCTGTGTGACCAGAGGGAGCAAGTCACTTTATGTTATGTTTGTCTCCACTTCCTTTGCTGGATTTTATAAATATTTATTTATTTATTTATTTTTTAAAGATTTTATTTATTTATTTGACAGAGAAAGACACAGCGAGAGAGGGAACTCAAGCAGGGGGAGTGGGAAAGGGAGAAGCAGGCTTCCTGCAGAACAGAGAGCCCGATGTGGGGCTCGATCCCAGGACCCTGGGATCATGACCTGAGCCGAAGGCAGATGCTTAACGACTGAGCCACCCAGGCGCCCTAATATATAATTTATTTTTAAAGATTTATTTATTTTAGAGAGAGTTTGCGGGGGGGGGGGGGGGCTGCAGAGGGAGAGGGGAAGTCAACTCCCTGCTGAGTGCAGAGCCCTACGGGGGCTCCATCTCACAACCCTGAGATCAACTCTAAGATCATGACCTGAGTGGAAACCAAGAGTTGGGTGCTTAACTGACTGAGCCACCCAGGCACCCCTACTGGATTATATTTTTAATTTTATTTTAAGGAAGCTGTACGCAGGGCTGGACTCATGACCCTGAGATCAAGAGGTGCATGCTCTACAAACCGAGCCAGCCAGGCATCCCAGGATTATACTTTTAATAAACTGAAAACTAAACATTATTTTTCCCATTTAACATTCAGAACTTCTGTTGGAAGCTAGGGCTGGGATGTCTAAGGTAAAAAGCTGCCTGTGTGGAGGTGTGTTCAACAGAGGAAAAGCATATTCTGTCTGTCTTGTTTAATCAGTGCAGGCTTCCTGGAAGAGGGAGGGTTTGGGCCCAGTGTTGCACCTCCCAGCCCAGCTTCATATTTTGAATTTCAAACCTTCAGTAAAGTTAAGAAATTAGTACAATGAACCTTTACATATGCACTGAGATGGACCAGTTTTTATCATTTTCCTACACTTGTTCTATATGCACTTGCAAATATGTATGTGTCTATATTTTTGTCTTTGCTGACTCATCTGAAAGTCAATTGCAGATGAGATTTTACCCCTAAGAACATTCTTCTATACAGCCAAAATACTATTGTCACACAACATTGGCTAATACTGAGTTTTTCATATTCTAATTTCCTTAGTTCTAATAATATTCTTTTTTTTTTAAAGTCTTTATTTTTAAATAATCTCAACACCCAGCGTGGGACTCAAATTCACAACCCCAAGATCAAGAGTCACACATTCCACCGACTGAGCCAGCCAGGTGCCCCAGAAAAGACATTTTTAATATTTCGGTATACCCATTCTTCATAATTTTGTTCTGCCCCCGTATCTAAGGCGGAAGGAGCTTGCTGTGTTCAAAAAAGTTTCTGTATCTGGCATTATGCTGAGTCTTTTAAAGTGATCTTCGTAAAACGTGTGCGATAGGAGACATCATACCCATTTTACAGATGAGGAAATGGGCTTCAAACAGTTGGGTCACTGTCTTGGGATTACATTGCTGATAAATAGCAGATATGAATCTAAATCTGTCCAACACCAAAACAAGGCACTTTTAGGTTATGAAATCCTTTTTTTTTTTTAAGATTTTATTTATTTATTTGGCAGAGAGAGAGAGAGAACAAGTTGGCAGAGAGGCAGGCAGAGGGAGAGGGAGAAGCGGGCTCCCTGCAGAGCAGGGAGCCCAATGCGGGGCTCGATCCCAGGACCCTGGGATCATGTAGGTTATGAAATCCTTAAGAGCAAAGACCACATAACAGTCTCATTGCTAGAGAACTTATCTGGTTCAAAAGTCCTTTTACAGAGCTAAAGTTGAGGCTCTGAGATGGGAAGTGTTGGGTCCAAGTTTGAGGCAGTGTTAGGAGCAGAAATTGTCTCATATTACTGTTCTAGAACAGATTTTGCTAGTAAGTAGTATATACGCTTTGTAAGTGATTGAACTTCTAAAATGTAAGAACAAAAAAAAAGCCATAATTAGTCATTTAGCTTTTAAAACACAATCACTTCAAAAGTGTTATTGGAAAATTGACCTCCGTGCTTCAGAGCCAAAATATAGCAGGAAGACAAGAGTTAGGGATAAAGAGGAACAATAGCTTTATTTATTTTTATTTATTTATTTTAAAGATTTTATTCGTTTATTTGACAGAGAGAGACACAGCGAGAGAGGGAACAGAAGCAGGGGGAGCGGGAGAGGGAGAAGCAGGCTCTTCCCTGAGCAGCGAGCCCAACGTGGCGCTCCATCTCAGGACCCTGGGATCATGACCTGAGCCGAAGGCAGATGCTTAACGTCTGAGCCACCCAGGTGCTCCGAACAATAGCTTTATTGCTTTGCCGGGCAAAAGAGCCGGCAGCAAGCTATGGCCCTCAAAAACTGTAAGCCTACCTGGAGGAAGGGGCTCAGAGGAAGGTGCTGGGGGGTTTTATAGGTAAATACAGGATCTAGCTGGTTTCTACAGGAATTGTGTAGGTGCTGCCAGCCTCCTTAGTCCTTTTCAGGGCGGTACCAGGTTCCTGAAACAAAAGGCTAAAAAAGGAGGATAGGAGGTTTGCTGGAGAGGGAAAAGTTTACTTTAAAATCAAGCTTCGCGGGGCGCCTGGGTGGCTCAGTTGGTAAAGCGACTGCCTTCGGCTCAGGTCGTGGTCCTGGAGTCCCGGGATTGAGTCCCGCATCAGGCTTCCTGTCCGGCCGGGAGTCTGCTTCTCCCTCTGACCCTCTTCCCTCTCGTGCTTTCTATCTCTCATTCTCTCTCTCCTTCAAATAAATAAAATCTTAAAAAAAGAATAAGAAATAAAATAAAATAAAATCAAGCTTCACGGAAGCATTAGTGCAGCCATTTTGACTTTTGTCCAATTCTATGTTTTTAAGTGGTTTCAAAAGTATCTTCAGGAACTGCCAACTGGTATTATTCTAACTCACACTTCCACTGAGAGCAGTAAGCCTTCTGGCCTCAGAACCAATTTTCCTTTTCTTTTCTTTTTTTTTTTTAAAGATTTTTTATTTATTCATTTGTCAGAGAGAGAGAGAGAGAGAGAGAGAGAGCACAAGCAGAGGGAGAAGCAGGCTCCCTGCTGAGCAAGGAGCCTGATGCGGGACTTGATCCCAGGATCCCGGGATCATGACCCGAGCCGAAGGCAGACGCTTAACCGACTGAGCCACCCAGGCATCCCCCAATTTTCCTTTTCATTCATTCGACCAACTACTAAGAACCTACTACAACGTGCTAGGCAAACACTGTTGTAGGAGATGAGGATATAGCCTTCAACAAAATAGGGAAAGTTCCTGTTGTCAAAGAGCTTCTTTTCTGGAGTTTATTCAACAAATAGAAGGGATGCCTGGGTGGCTCAGATGGTTAAGCGTATGCCTTCGGCTCAGGTCATGATCCCAGGGGTCTGGGATGGAGCCCCTCATCGGGCTCCCTGCTCAGTGCAGATCCTGCTTCTCCCTCTCCCTCTGCCATTCCCTCCTCTTGTGCTCTCTGGCTCTATCCCTCTCTGTCAAATAAATAAATAAAATCTTTAAAATACCATCAACTTAAAAAAACCCACAAATATAATAAAAGCAGTGAATGCTTATATAGTGCTTACCTAAACATTGCAGGCACGAAGTGCTATGCAGTGAATGATGTGGGGAACAAAGGCTAAAGAAATGTAGAAAAAAATTAAACCTTCTTACAACCTATAGCCCATTGACAAGTACTTGAGACAGGCAGAGTGACCTTCCTCCAAGAACTCAACTGCTTCAAAGTTAATACTTCGCTAGAGGCAAAAGGCAACCTTTGTTTGACATTAGCCCGACCTCCAGGATCCTCCAAGTCTCCTTTAACATATGAAAATCCCTTTGGAAACATCCTTCATCTCTTACCCTCCCCCTCAAGATACATGTTAACAATCATCTTCCAAGCATATGAGCCACGAATCTACATCTGAAGGGTCTCATGACTAAAGTTTACTAGACAGTAGTAAATGACCCCTCAAGGTCCTGGAAACCTTAGAGACTTAACACTCTTCCCTAACCCCCTCCCAACTTAAAAGTATATAATCAGTCACTCTTCAGAACCGCAGTGCAGCTCTTTCTGCCCACAGGTCCCGTCCCTGTGCTTTAATAAACCATTTTTTTTTTTTTGCACAGAAGACGTCTCAAGATTTCTTTCCTGACCGTTCACTCTGGTACCCCAACATTTCACATCAGTGAACATATTCATTCCCTGGTTTCAATTTCACAACAAACCCTATGAGGGAGTTGTGCTATTATCATCTTCACTGGGGAAGAGGAAGTAGGCATAGAAATGGTGAGCAGAGTACCCAGCCAGTAAGTGAGATAGCTGGAACTTGATCTAGACAGACTGGCTGTTGTGGGGGCTCTTCAAGAGGTGCATATGAGCTCCTCATATAGTTACCACACTCCCTCTCTGCAAGGGAGAGGAGAGGTCCTGAGTTGGCAGGTTGGGGAGAGAGCAAAGCCTAAACAATGAAGACTAACAGAAGGACCGAAGTGCCAGCTTATGACCGGGAGAACACCTGCAGCCCAGCCAGCCCAATTTATTTTGGGCTTTTTCTCCTTCCCTTTATTTCCTTTTCCTCTCTTAGGAGTTTTCCCTCCCTTCCTCCCTCCTCATTCTCTCTCTCAGGCTCCCACCCACTGTGGAGCCCACGAGGGGCATGAACTCACGCCCCTGAGATTGAAACCTGAGACGAGATCCAGACTCCCAGGCTTAACCGACTGAGCCACCCAGGTGCCCCTGCCTCCTTTCTTTCCGTCTTCTTACCGCTTTCCCCTAACCTTCTTTCTTTTAACTGCTTTTCCC